AACATATATATATATATATTTAAAATATAATTTTCATAGCATTTACTTTGTTATTTTGATAAAATGAAAAAGTATAAGAAAAAAATAATACAATTTAATATATTTTAAAAGATTTTTATCATTTAAGTTTAAACTTACTTTTATATAATTTATTAATCAGTTCTTTGTGCAGATGATCGATGTATTTTATAGTTTCTTCAATTATCATAGTCTATATAAATATATAAAATATATTTTTAATATGAGCTAATTTAAAGAAAATTTTTCTTCTTTTTATTTTATTTATTTTTTATTTTATTATTAAAATTTTTCTTATTTAACTAAGTTGTTATAATAATTTATAAATTACAAATTGAAAAAATATTAAATATTTTAAAAATTGTAAATACAAATTTACCTTTGAAATGTTTTTTGAACTTTTTAACGACGGAATTATTAATCGCAATTTTCTATATTCGTACTTGGTGCTTCTGCTTCTCTTTAGTTTTCGTTTGCATTTTTTTATTTCCATAATTTAAATTAGCTGTAGCAGAAAGTATCAGTTAGTTCCGTTTAACATCTGATTCGGATATTTATTAAATACATGTGGATTCGTGCTTACCACCCCAATGACATCATCGAGTTTTCCGACCAATCGCGCATCATCTTAAAAATACAACCAATAGATTAATCAATAATATTACGTCATTCTCCGGCACTCCAATAAGCTGCTTGTTTTTTAAAGTTTAAAATTATAAATGTTATTTTATTTAAATGTTGTTTGTTTATTTTATTAAATTTTAAAATTGTACTTAATTATTGTTATATCAGTTGTAAGATGTTTCTGGCTAATAGAAATAGTTAAAATTAAATTCATGGTCATTATTTTTAATTTTTTTGTTAAAATTTAGATATAAAATGATTTATTTTAGTAGATAAAAGTAAAAATACATATTCAAGTCGTAAATTTTAAAGTAGATAGATCTAAAAGTATGATATTAAGCAAATAAATCTGAACTTTTCCAATACGGTTTATAAACAATAGCATTTTTATTCATTGTAGAAGCATTATTTTTTATTTTTTTATGGGACCTAAACTAAGCGATTGATAGAATTACAAAGCTTACGGAAAAATACTGTTTCGAGTTTTTTCCCGCACAAATTTATTTTAGCGAACGTAAAATACGATTAGAGATGTTTTATGATTTAAGTCACCTTGAGAAACACGCGTAACTTCTTAGAAATCTATCATCTAAAGTATTTCAAAAAATTCTGAAAATTATTCAAGTCCATTTTACTTTTTTAACTGGTTTCATTCTCACGCGGAACAATAAAAACAATAAAGAAAGCTTTATTTTTATTTTTTTTCATGAAACATTAGTGGGGAGTTTCTTGTAAATTTAAAGCTGCTATCTGTTAATGTAAAGTCAAATATAAGAACGAAATTTGTTAAAATTTTGTTTTTCTTTATCTTCTAAAGTTGTTATATTAAAGAGGATTCGAAACATAATTTAAAATTTATTGATTTAATAAATAAATTAGAAATGTCACAATAAATGAAATGCAATAAAATATATATAACAGCTATATGAGAATTATTTTTAGGTAATTGATTTGATTAATTTAATGAAGGTTTATACCAAGTTGTACGTTTTTTTTCCTCGCCCAGAATTTAGATTAAAATTTATTTGTTGAAAACTAAAAAAGAAGAAATGTTTATTTTATTAAATATGTACTATACAGTACATAATTTGGATTATTTCTCCTCTAGTCTTTTAATAGAAATGTTTAAAATATGTAATGCTATCAAGTGATTTTCTGATATTTGCATAGTTTTTTTCAATTGTCATTATTTTGTTTTATGTATGTAGGTACTGTACAGTACATCGTTAATGATCTAAATTGGAATGCTTTAGAACATACGAGTATATTGACTGTAATCAATTATTTTTTCTGTTAAACTTCTCAATTTTCTTGACGATTAAATTAAATTACAGTAGACCCCTTATAACTCGGGTTCCTATAACGCAGATTGCTATAACGCGGCGAAAAAATTGCGACAGTATTCGTATAAAGACGCTAAAAGGGACGCGTAAAACGCGGTAAAACGTCATCGCCGACTCGTGTCGCGACAGGATTGGTCGAATCTGTACCAATAGTAGACGAGCAGCCGAACTACTTACACGCTACAGAGAGTTTAGACCGGTAAGTTGAGTTTACTATCGTCTGTACAGTATGTAAATTAGGTACCGTAAGTCTAATACAGCACTGTAATTTTATACATTTCTTGTGAAAGAAACATTTCTTATTCAACGGCCATAAAAATTATTTGTATTAATGATGTCTCCAAAGTTCAACGAATTTCTCGCAGAAAAATAACTTATCAGAAATCACGGCCGCCGTTTGGTGCGCTGCTCCGCGACGAAAACAAGCTTAAGCAATGGCGACGTCGAACGGTGCACACTCGGTAAGTAATCCTACAATTTTTTGTTTATAGCGTAGTTTATACGGATTATTTCCAAAAAATATATACGTATTTTGGAAATGTTGAGTCGAATTAGTCAAGAATCGATTAATTTTATGGAAGAAAACTTTTCAAACAGCCGTAGTCCCTAAACTGCACACGTGTCGGGCTGTGATTGGCTCATGTATTTAAGGATTCCTACAACGCGAAATTCGTATAACATGGAACGTATCTACCGCGTTATAGGGGGTCTACTTTATATTAATTATAAAATTAAAATAAACTGGACAAACGACAAATTTCTCTATATGATACTATTATCTTTATTTATGTACAACTTATTAAAAGGAGTTAATATCAATGTTTTATAATTTTGTATCCTCTATTTTTGGTGGTGATGTTTTTAAAGTTGTATCCGAAACATTATTCTTCACTCTGAAATAAAGCAATCTACATTAATAAATAATATAATCTGTGTTAAATCTGGTAACATAGTTTTTGCTCACATGTCGTCGTCATTATCATCATCATCATCTATTTGAGGTACTGCGAAAGAGACGAACTTTTTACGACTGATCTTTCTATTCCGAGCTGACTGTTCAGACCAGGAATCGTTAGATTCTATAAATTAAAAATTAATTACATTTAATCAATTTTGCATTTTTCTAAGTAAAAACGAAAATTTTTACCTGTTCGTTCGGCTTCCTTCTTTGTAAAACTAGGAGTTGAGAAAGAAAAAGCGGATTCTTTTTCGTGTTGAAAAATGCTTGTTGGAGAATCGGGTTGATAAACGGGATTATTCATTTGAGCTGGATACATTTCAATATTTATCGTAATCGGTGTATCATTTTTTATTTCTTCTTCTGTTTTGAATCGTCTACATTATAAATAAATTGTAATTCATACTGAGTTATTAAATAACTGTTAGGTTAACTATTTAATAATATTTAATATCTAGCATACTTACGAATTCCAAAATTGATTATATCTCCACCACCATACGAATAGAAAGAAAACGAAGAAAAGTGGAATTGTTGCGTATATAAAATACGTTTCTGTTTTATCCTTAAATATTTTTCTGCAATCCTTAAACTAAAATTATATCGTTAATTTTTTTAAATATGTTTTTAAAATTTAGGATAATGAAATTGCTTACATGATAATTGTCATAATCTTGATTGTATAATATTTCTCTCAACTGGTCAGAGGTAAATAAGGGTTTGGTTTCATCATTTGGATGAGTAATGGTGAAAAGAAAATAAAACGAACCATCGTTTCTTTTTGCATAAGTATAAATATTTATAGCGGTTTCTCTATAATAGTCCAAATGTTTAAATATCAAACACACTGATTAACAAAGAGTTGTATAAATCTTATAAATAAGCTTTATGGATTTAGATAAATTAAAAATTACCTAATAAATCTGATAGTAGCACGATTGCTTTTCTTCTTGATGTATTGTTCTGCTAATGTTATAATACCCGATACTACATCATTTTTCACTTCTGCCTTGGTTGAAATGTAATAATTATTAAAATTTATATCAAATTCGGGTAAATCTAGAATATTTAATTAATCCATTAAAATAAAATATTAAAGCTGATAAAATTTATATTCTAAAATGATTTGTTCGTTGTTGATCAAGAGGGATATAATGAAAGTGGGTATAAAGTGGACAATAGTTATAAGTAGGTTTTTTGTTTTTTTTTTTAAATAAAGCAAATGAATACTTTAAAATTATAATTTACAGTAGAGCCTCGATTATCCGACCCCCGATTAACCCACCGTCCTAGTCGGCAAATTTAAAATGTCCGCTAGTGATGTGGCGCTACAATACTTGGCTATGTCTTGGCTACTTTAATATTATTTTTACGTGTTTTAGCTGGCAACACTCATTCGACCATGAAAGGGAGCCAGCATTTAAAGGAGGCTTAATTTTCTAAATTTTAACGATACAATAGCGACGATTATTATTTAAAAAAATTTTTGTTAGGCTTAACACCGATGAAAATTCAACGCGAAGTAGGTTAATAGCGATATACTAATATACTATTCAATAATTACATGGGATATAATAATATACTACACTAATAATGGATTTTTTCATACTTTTCGGTTATCCGACTTTTCAATTCTCCAATTGGGTCGGATAATCGAGGCTCTACTGTATTTGCTTCGATTCACCTTTCTTCGTACATCAATTTATAGTTGGTTTAGCGTGAGAGAATTTTGTTTCATGCTAATTCGGACGTCTTAAACTAATAATATACGGTGTAATATTTAATTAAATGTTTATACAGTATTTATAAAATCAGTCATCATCTGTATATAATAAGTTACAAGCATTTTCATTGTAAAAGTTAATTAAAAATCCAATGTATTAAATTAGATATACTGTACAGTATTAACTTTACGAAATTTTATACGTGTGTGATATCTATCTAGCATTCCTATATTTGTAATGTCTAGAATATTATTTTTTATAAATAATTTATTTAAAATATTTTTGAATTATAGAAAGTATAAATTAAGGTGTAAAAATTTATTTTACATTATAAAAAAATTAAAGTATAATTTTCCATATAATTTAAATAAATTAAATAAAAGTATTTAGCAATATATGCAATGATCAATATTTTAACAACAATCCTAGTTTTGTGATTATAAAATACAACATACAACAAAAAAAGATATATTTATTGTGTTCTTGTGGTTAGGGATACATGGAGAAAGATCTGTAAACTTCAAATTTATGATTTGAAGTACGTGAGTTGACAACGAACATGCTGACATTTTCTGTTAATTGATATGTTTTCGGGTTTTTAAAGTGATACAAGTCACTTTTTTCAGTAACATCTGCATTTTTGCATTTTTTAAAACTAAATAAACTTATTTGTTAGCGTATTTTATATTTGAATACTTAAAAGTATCCAAATATAAAATAAAGAAAAAACTCGGGAAAAAATTAAGTTTATCATCATTGTTTTTAAGAAAAGATAACTTGTTTAAAATGTTCAAAAGTTATTTTTTGAATACATTTTAATTAATGATAATAATTAAGATACAATATCATTTTACAGTCCGATATTTTTACCGGTAATTTATACGGTAAAAATACGGTAATTCGGTAATTTATTTTACTCATTTTGCAATTCGTATTCAATCTATTCTTAGTTTTAGAGTTAAGAATCGAAGATCGATTGATGATTTTTGAATTTTTTTATGGAGAAAATCAGTAAAAATTATATCCAATATTGCAAAAATTGTAACTACATTATTTTCACAATATAATTAATATATACTCGTACTTCACTTCCTTTTATTGTTTTAAAAAATTGTATTCTAAAGTTTAGTTATAATAAATTGAAATTTTTCGTGAAATTCGAGGATGAGGCAATTTTAATATAAGTGTATTCTAGCATGAATTGCAACTGAATGAAGAATGATTGAAATAAATATACAGCAGTCTACAATTCTGCTGTTCTTGAATCGCTTTATATGAATTTAAAACATAATAAGAGTTTATTTATAATATATTAATTATAAATCATATTTATCAAATTCAAAATTAACATTTATTTTTTTATTTTATTTTATTTTTTTGTGTATTGTTCGTTAGGGATCATAATGAAAGATTATAGTCAACTATATAACTTATTTTTATTTCATTAAATTTACAGGAGAAGACAAGATAGATATTTGATTTCAGCCCCCTACAAAAACATATAGGCCTATCATAAAAGCAAATAACATCCCTTAAAACAAAAACAAAAAATAAATAAATAAATAAATAAAATAAAGTAAAAACAGGTAACAAATCTTAAGAGATAGCCTACAGCGCTTTTTTACATTTCAGTTTAAAATCAGGGACATCAAGATGTAAAAAATTCATCAAAATTATTAAGATTTTGCGATCTACGGTAGAAGAAAGACCATTGGGATAGTTTGTTTGTTTAGTTAAGTTACGGCAACGCAACACTTGGACTATCTGCCTAGGAAGAATGCCTTCCGGGAGGTCTTTTTAAGGGTAACTGGCCCCTATTCAGGCATTACAGACATGGAGAAACCTGGAAAACTCCACGTGGCCAGCCCGTCCTGGCGAGGCGCGAATCCACGACTGAATTCCCAGTGTTCAGGAAACGGAACCGCTAAGCCACTGGTGGGCCTTCTTTAGGATAAATTTAGACGATAAAAAGGAGTAAAAACGTAAGTAAATAAGCAAAGTTTTCTGGTAAAAATATGGTACTGATCAAGTGTGGCCTTTCGCTACATCCCTTTTCTTACATTGTTATTATTTCTAATGAAAAAATAAAATGTTAATTTTTTAAAATTTTGAAAATAGAATATAAAATACTGTATTTAAATCATTAATGCTTCGTTAAAATATTTAAATTATACTATAAGCCCAAAGAGTGGTGTTTAATATATTTATATCATTATCAGCATAAATTATATTAGATTAATAAGAAAATAAAAACTTCATTTAACTATTGATCTATATCATATTAAAGTTAAATAAAAAGTCATAATGAGAACGGTCTCTAACGAAATTCTGTTTGATGGGAAAATGTTGAGATGGAAAAATACTTTAAATTGATAAAAATTTTAATTGGATACTTGTTCATTACCTTATCAAAATATAAAATAGATAATATAAACAGATGATAATTAAGATCAATTTTAATACTGCAAGAGATGATTTATGACGAGACAAAGTTGGTGTGACGATGATTTACAATTGTATTAATATAATTGATAGCATTTTCTTGAAAATTATTTACTATTATTTAAAATATATTTAAAGAAAAGACAACCTACTAAAACTTTTGTAATTCAACACTGCTGAAATCTGCTATTATTTAGGCCTAATATATTTTTATTCCACAGTGTCCAAATAATGTATTTACAAATGATTTATAATCAATATACTAAATAGGTCTAAATAGAAAAAATATGAAAAATATTTTTATTAAATTTTTAATTAAAAATAAATAAATAAAATAGCTACTTTGTTGCGTCTGTGCTCAATACATAATATAATGACAAAAGAAATTGTTTTCTGAGGGAAAAACTAGCTGAATAAAATAAATCGAGTAGTTTACTTGTTGAGATTATTTTTCAGCTACATATGATCCGCTTATTTTTCAAATCGAGTAACTCCACAAAATAGAAAATAGAGAAATTGATAAAATAATAGGCCTACACCTCTCTTTTTTTAAAAATTGCTTTTAAAACATTGTAGAGTTTTTAAACAAACATTGTAGAATGTGTTACTACAGGTAAATTATGTAGAATTGGCCCTAATTTTCTCTTCTTAGGTGTCCCGGAAGCAAATTTTTACGACGACATACCCCATCATTACGTCATTCGTGTAGGCGAAGTTTACGGTATGACAAGACAAGCAGGAGACGGAGCACATTGAAAGTTCTTTTCGTTTATAATTAGAATTAAGGCTAAAAAAAGCAACGGATAGCTTTATTCAAAGAAACAAAAGTTACTTTCAGGTCATTTTTATATACATATCTATATACTGTATAGTATTTAAAAGCGAACAAAGTCACTTAGTTTACACGCTTCCTATTGATCAAATTTGGCAAATGAGGTCTGAAATTAAAACTTACGACCTCTAGATATGCAGAAAACTAAAAAAAATTTAAATAGCCTATATTTGGAGGACATCGAATTATTAACGATTTTAGCAATTTTTGATAGGTCACGTACCAGTGATAGTATCGTGTAGTCTATTATTAAAATCTTTTGCGTTGTACGATATTATGTATTCTAAGATAATTGTCTTAGCGTGTATACAGTATTTCGAATACATTTGTAACGTTTATATTTTCTCACGTGACTGGTTCAGTGCTTTGTTAATTAATGCCTATTTTAAATTATTATTCAGATTACTTTCTTTGCTATTAATAAGTGAGCTTCAAAATCTTTCACTTAAAGTAAGTTGTCGGCTTGAAATAGCTGTAAAGAATTTTGGACATTAAAAAACAATATTCTTGTCACGAAAAAAAATAAAAGAATGTCGTGGAAACAAACAGATGGATTAGATGTGATCCAGGTTGTGGAAAGAGACTATAATTTATGATTTATGAATATATTTCATTGATTGAAAATGATTATAAATACGAAATCAATTCCAATTATGTTACAGCTCAATGTTTTGAAATAAATAAATAAATATTTAACTTAATCACATTTAAATTTTCTGTGTGTAAGTTAAATATTTATTTATTTATTGTTTGATTGTCACATTAGCAGAGGCCTCCTCCTTGCAACTTGCAGCCTTTTATTAATTAATAAAATAAAAATGTTCTCTCTATTTTCTAATATTTTTTGTAATTATTTTTGTAATGTAACTACACACAGAAAATTTAAATGTGATTAGTTACATTACAAAAATAATTACAAAAAATATTAGAAAATAGANAAAATAAAAATTTTCAATTGAAAGTATTCTCGGGAGGACTCCCCGTGGCTGATCGTCCATGTGTTGCATTACCTTGTTCTATTCAATATATTTACGTTACAATTATCCAGATTAAAACTAAGAAATAAAAAAAAAAAAAAAAAAAAAAAAAAAAAAAAAAAAAAAAAAAAAAAAAAAAAAAAAAAAAAAAAAAAAAACTATAAAGCATGGATAAAAACGCGTTTTTAAGTGAAAACTTTGGTTTCGATACTTCTAGAAAAATATAAAAGATGCAAATAAATTTTGATTTCATATTTGTCGCACATAGAAAATAAAGAACATTGAATGGTATATATTTACAACTTAATTATTTGTGTATTCTCCCAAGTAATATTATTATTTACTAGGTCACTAATGGGCCAAAATGATAAAAGCGTCGTTTAAATCATAAAACTTTTTAAAAGTCATTTTTAAATATTTTTTTGACAATCACTGGAATTCGTTCATTTTTAGAAAAAATAAAATAATCCACCATTGTGAAAGATGCCGAAACGAATTTTTCGATCCGTGACGTTGGTCGATTTATTTTTTTTTCTGCCCTAACCGGATATTTCACGATCACGATTCATTTAATGGCCATGCAGTATCCGTATAGCTTAAATCTATAGGTAATATCGGGATAGTATTGATATGGATAACGTTAATATAACGTTATTTGTACCAGTCTTAGGTTGAGATTAACGTAATAACAATTATCTATATAATCAATTTACCTAAATATAAATTGTTCAATTTGTTAATAGAAGCCGAAATACTTATTTTATGTAAGACTGATTTATCCATCATTAAAAGATAATTATATAATGAACTAATAAAGAGGATCCGTACTGATATTCGCTGTTAGTTTATTACTTAATTACCTTTTAATGGAAGGCGTTAACGTCATAAAAAAACAAGCACTGTATTGTCTGTTAGAAAAGGTAGGGGTAGTCTTCTATTTCTTTGGTTAAAACTCCTAATAGAGCCCTCTCCCTTATAATGGAATCATAATTTTGTTATTGAGTAATTTGTATTTTAATATACAGTAAACAGTGTATTATAACAAAATTTCGGGTTTTTTTAATGCCAGTAAATGCCTTTTTCCTAACCACTTCTACAGTTTTTTTTTGCACTAACTTAATAAACAATAAAATACAGTAGAGCCTCGATTATCCGACCCCCGATCAACCGACCCCTCGGTTAACCGACCGTCCTAGTCGGCAAATTTCAAATGTCCGCTAGTGATGTGGCGCTACAATATTTGGCTATGTCTCGGCTACTTTAATATTATTTTTACGTGTTTTAGCTGGCAACACTCATTCGACCATGAAAGGGAGCCAGTATTTAAACGAGGCTTAATTTTCTAATTTTTAACGATTCAATAGCGACGATTATTATTTTAAAAATTTTTTGTTAGGCTTAACATCGATGAAAATTTCAACGCGAAGTAGGTTAATAGCGATATACTAATATACTAATTACATGGGATATAATAATATACTACACTAATAATGGATTTTTTCATACTTTTCGGTTATCCGACTTTTCAATTATCCGACCAACCCCAGTCCCCAATTAGGTCGGATAATCGAGGTTCTACTGTACAATAGATATATCAATAATAACAGGAGGAGGGACCGAATTATCTATACAGTATAAAGTTCGAGAAACATTTACTTCAGCGACAAGTTTACTTAGTAATTAAAATTGCTTATATATATCTGATAATGAACATTTCATAATAATGAACATAATTATATATTTTTTCCATACTCATTACGGGTTCGGCCAGGCACACAATGGGGCAGCCGAATAGTGAGACAGAACTCGACGTATTCACAACAAGATTAGGATTAATGGGTTAAGGCAATGCAACACATCGGCGCTTTGCCAAAGAGGATGGCTCTCGGGAATACTTTCTTTGGGAAACTAGGGATTAGACTTATGAAGAAAACCTAGAAAATTCAACACGGCAAGCCGGTGACCCAACTGCCAGTGTTCAGTGGTTTTATCCATTTGGGTATTGATGGGCTTATCCGGGACAGAAGAACCACCGAAAAATTTGTGGTTGCTCATCCGGATTCAATCCCGGGTTCACAAGAGCGGTAGGCTAGCACCTTGATGGCCGGTTGGCCGAGGTAATTAAAATAATTCTACTGTTAAAATTTAAGAATTTTTTAGTAAAAACATTCTTAGGTTGCTAGTTGATTTGTTAATTCTCAGTTCGCAAATATTAATTTGTATTTATCCTAAATTTTCCGAAAAAAATATATTTTTACAAAGTAAGAGTGATTTCATATAAAACACTCAGTTCAGACAAACTGATATTATAAGAGTAATTTTATATAATTATCTATTAATATCCACATTTAAAGAATGATTGTATTTGAAACTAAAAATTTTCAATTGAAAGTATTCTCGGGAGGACTCCCCGTGGCTGATCGTCCATGTGTTGCATTACCTTGTTCTATTCAATATATTTACGTTATATTTTAATCTCTAGCATGTAATATTTACCTCTGAAATATTTAAAGAAATTTCAACACAGACAGGAATAGCATTATTCCACAGGTCGTATTTAGGTGGTTCAGTTTCTTCTTCTGGAACAGATACACCTGAAAAATAGAAATCAGTTGCTTGTAGTAAGTATTTAAATCTTGTTATTTTGCTTTACGGTAGCAAACTTACCGGTACATTGATACAATATTTCGAAACCTCTAGCATTTCTTTTAGGATTTTGTTTACTAATTAAGACAACATAAGCTGTGTTGCCCGATTCTGTTGCTATTAATACCTTCTTGTTTTTCGATTTTTCTGTTAGGAGTAAAGGCGGAGGACCTCCAAAAATGTCGCTTTCATTACCTATATTAATAGTTAACCTTCTTTGAGTGTTTATACGTATTTGATACAAAGAAAATAAATTTGTTTTACCATAATTCTTAGATGATGATCCAATAAGAAGATAATCTCCTGCTTCATTATCTATATCAATGTATTTAATAGTCATTTCGGTCCTAACAGATTCTCGTTTAGAAGATGGAATTATACGCCAGTATGTGATCGAGTTCGGCTTGTATCTGTTGTTTTCTAACTTCGGTTTTAAAATATTTTCATCTTCAGTGCAGGTAGAATGAATGACTTCTAGTATTTTAAGAAAGAATATTATGAATTGGAATTGATTGATTATACACTTCTGCTTTAAAAGTTATATGTAGACTTTATTATTATGCAGTAAAGAAATCTTTCAAAATTTTTTACATATTATAAAGAATATTTTTAGTGGTATCCGGATGATTTCACTACAGTAATATTTTCCAATCCTTTTCAATTAACAATCACGATTCCCATGGGATCGTTCAAGTATTATATCAACAAAAATTTTTCCTGTTTTGATCCTCCGTCCCTCATCACCACCAGCTATCAGAAATCAAGGTACTCTCTTCCCTAATTATATCATCGGGACAGAAGTTAAACCGTTCTTAAATACATAGAAATTACTTTCAGAGATTTTTGTTATGATTAGGGAAAAATAACTGTCTTAATCATGGAAAATTTAGTTTATTGTCAGAATTAACAAAACGAATCAATTATATCACTAATAACGTTCTTTATGTAAAGTTTAGGATCTCACATACAGTATGCTAAGGAGAATTTGATAAACAAAAAATTATGCATAAAACTACGAATATCGGGAATTATGAATAGTAGTTAAACGTACAGTATAGGTTTTAACCGCAATGCTTGTGAATTTATCAAATTCTCCAGTAATTATAAATACTCTCCAGTATTACACGTTTAACTTGATTAACGAACCATGCTTTGACCGGTAGAGATTGATAAAAAAAAACTCAAATTATGTGCAATAGCACATAATTTGAGTTTTTTTGCTTTTAAAAATGCTTATTAGATATTTAATAATTGTTCAAAAATTTTTTATAATAATAATTTTTAATTTAAAAAAAAATTTTTAACAAATGTTAAACAAACATTTATATTTTATAAGTTATGGCAACGCAACACTTCGGCGATTTGCCTAGGGGTTGCATTCCGGGAGGTCTTTTAAGGGAAACTGGCCTCTATTTAGGCCGTTACAGACGTGGGGGAAACCCAGAAAACTCCGTGGCCAGCCCGTCCGAGCGAGGCTCGAATCACGACCAAACTCCCAGTGTTCAGGGTACGAAGACCGCTTTGGCACTGGTGGGCCATAAAATATAAATGCTTAGTATAATTTTTACTAGGACATCGCGCGACTTTGTCGTATCGTGATAGAATTGAAGTGGGGCAGGAAAGTAAGAAGTGATCCATGCACTTAGGAACAGAAGAGGCGAACGAAGAACAAAACAATCGATGCCGATTGCTTTGTTCTTATGTTTTGTTCGTTTTTCGCGCCTATTTTCCGTTAGGCGCACGCAATGCTGTTTTTATTTTTAATCCCTAGGCCTAAATTCTGTTAGGCGTGCTCACGAGAGAGCACGGACAATTATATGCCTGACAGTGAAACCTATATCGAAAACGAAGCCATGAACTCCTATTTTATTATTAATACATTTAAATGGACCCTCGTTGCATTTTTTGAATTCAGGAGACCTTGAAACGTCGAGAAATGCAAACGAATTTAGAGGTAATTTCTGTATGTATGTTAGTGTGTGGGGGGCACGATTTTGTTCATCCTCTTTGAAGCTTAATAACTCCTGTGCTTTTTGTCGAAAATTTTTGAAATTTTGCAGGGAGGGCGATTGATGCTATTAAATTTTGTTGGTTAAAAGTAGACGGGGAGGGAAGATAAAGGGGATGATGTGTCATATCTCGAATGGAATAGGACTTAATGAATATTTTACTCGTTATTAGCATTTACAATTTTTTTTACAAAACTCATCTCTATCCTCAAAATCAAACATTGTGCCAATCTTTAATAATTAATAATAGGATATTGTATTTAATAAACTTTTTACAATAGATGGCGCTACACACAATTTTAATTCTTTTTGCTGGAAAAGTTACGCTACTCGTTGCCGGATTTTTTACTTTGTTACAATATACCCCGTACGTTTTGAGACATTTCAAATATTGTATTTGTTTTTAAATTGTTTTTTCGCTTATTGAATTTAATCGAGTTAATAAATTAAATTTTTAAGGGTTAAATTTTGTGAATTTTATGCTTATCTGTGATTATTTTACTTGGGATTTAAGGGGCTTGGGGCTTTTTAAATAAGTTTTTCAATGATTAACTACTGTATTAAATTTTACTTATTTTGGATACAATTCAACTAATAATTTTGTCGTGATTTCATGCTTTTTTGTGATTATTTTTAAATATAATACAAAATACAATTATTTTTATCTAGAAGTGATTGAAAATTGTGCGTAATCACTAGCAATTTTAATAAGTTTTTCGTTTTATTAACCATATTTTTCAGAATATTAAAGTAATTATTATTATTAAAACTTTAATATGATTCTCTACACAATTTTTTTCGTAATTCAAACGCAAATCACAAAATGAACAGAAAGAAAAAAACAGTTAAAACATTTCACATATGGGATGATCGTAATTAAGATATCCCGTTTAATGCTGTCTAGAGAGAAATTTAGCTGTTCAAATGGAACCACATTTTGTACGGCGATGTTTAAGGATACGAAAAAGACATTTCTACAGAAACTTTGTACCAAGGTGAGCCTTGATACAAAGTTTCTGTAGAAATGTCTATGGAACTTTTGGGACTGCAAGCCGTGTGGTTTGAAATTGCAGTTATTTTTAGTTATTTTTAATCTACTATACAATGTGATTTAAATTAAGTAGTGAACGAAATATGAATTTGAATTGAATATATTATAAAATAATTATTTTACTAGTATACTTTATTAAATAGGTATACTATTTAATAAAGTATACTAGTTAACTTGGCTATTAGGCAATAAATGAAATAACATACTTTTCCCGAGGAAGAATTATCGTGAAGTGCTATTTCTGACGTTCCAAGCTCGCATGACACATATTTTTAATGTATGTCATAAGATGACACTATGCATACGCAATCATCATTTTTTTTTATTTCGAAAAGTATAGAATATTTAGGACATTTTTCTTTTAGGCTAAATAATTGAAAATTTGTTTCCTACAATTTAATTCTTTTAAAATAAATCTCTTTAAACTATAATAGTTCAGAATAGTGTATATTATCGAAACTTGTATTGATAAAATTACTGTATATTTTGTGCTTGTATTTCATACTTTTTTAAACAAAGTAAATGTTTAGAAAAGTTAGAAACTACATAGGTCTACTGTCATTAAGTTTATTAATGCGTACCAGCAGCGCCCGCAGACTATCGAAAAAGGGGGACATAAGCTGCAAAAAAGGGGTATCGTACATTATGCAAGGAGCTTCAAACTCTATAATTCAGCGTCAAATCAGCTCTCCCATAAGATGGCCTGATTGCACTAGGGGCTAACTTGGCCTGGTTTGAAAACCACATTCATGGTTTTCACTTTGGGCAGAAAACACTAATCAAGGCAAAGGAACAGGACAAAGGGGAAAAAATTTCCAGCATAAGATAGAAGTTTTGATACCACAGAGTGAACTGGAAGAATGAATAAAAGTATACAGTTGCTTTAATTTTGCTATTTATTGGAAAATTCGGTCAATTAAGATGATGATTAAAAAATCCAGCAACGAGTTACGTAACGTTCCTGGCTGTTATGAGATTTTGTTTAAAAATTAACTTTTATATTTTTTATGTGCTGTGTTGTTGCAAGCAAATGCAGTGATCCATGATTTAGATGCCATGCAACTCAACATGTAATGAAAAGTATTTCTATAAGAAATTCAAGGATCTGGAGGAATTTTCAAATTAATCACAAATTTGAATTAAAAACATTCANTAAAACTTTTTATATTTTTAATTATTATCGAATGGCAAAAAGCTTAATTTTGTGGATAGTGATGAGTTTCGTAAAAAAAAACTGTAAATGCTTATAACTAGTAAAATCTTCATTAAGTCTGACCTCTCTCAAAATAAGACATATGATACCTTTCTATCTCTCTACCCCCTCGACATTTAATCACCAAAATTTTAATAGCATCAATGACCCTTATGTAGAAGCTACCATGCCAAATTTCGTTTCTTAATCATTACCTCATCCTGAGATATTAAACGAAATAGATGCTCGCACACGTCCACAAAATATTATTTACTTTTATGGGTTCAGGAAGTCTCAAAACACGGAGATTTGCAAAAATACTCGGAGGGTCAAATTTGATACGATTCTAATACTTCCTTTGCTATACATAACAGGTGGAAAAGAAAGGTTTTTTTTTTTATTTTACTTTCCCGGCTGTTATTTATAAGAGGGAAAGTATGACGATCGGTCAAAAAATTGCCCTTCCCAAGATTTTTATATTTTTGGATTTAGGACATCTTGAAACGTCGAGAAATGCAAACCAATTCGGGGGTAATTTCTGTATGTATGGATGTTAATGTGTGTGAGTGGGGAGCACGATTTTGTTCATCCTGTTTGAAGCTTAATAATTCCTGTGATTTTTTTTCGAAAATTTCTGAAATTTTGCAGAGAGGTTTGCTTATTAGGGAGATTAATGTTATTAAATTTTGGTGATTACAGGTCGAGGGGGTAGTTGCCTAACTTGCGTAAAATCAGATTTAAATTAAATGAAATAATGGAATGCAAATGAATTGTATTAAGTAAAATCGAATGTAATAAATCTGAGGTATAAATTATGTGATAAGTCAATCTGATATTTTTCGTTAAATGTTTAGTATTTTTGTCATTTTCCATAGAATAAATGTCATATTTGTACGATAGAGAAGCATCGGTTATCACCGATCTTAGAAGTTTAGCCTTCGTTTCAATTAAATAAACTTGATTAGAGCAATTCAATTTATTTATTTCATTTCTGAACAATTGACATAAAAGTTAAATATCTTTTTATAGTACAGATCTTTGTTCTTGTGAAGTTTAATTGAGTCGTATTTCTGATAAATTCAATAAAGGGACTTGACTTACTTAACTCTTTCGTAACATATTCATTGATTTATCAGCTGTTAAATTTAGATGAATGACCTTCCTACTTATTCAAATACCATTTTACTTTGCATCAAAAATAATTTAAAAATAAACTTAAGCT